AAACAACGTCGTGGGATTTAATGTAATTAGTTACATTATCGTCAACGACTATATGCCGGAAAGAATGATCGGCCATACACGCAATGTCAAAAAAATGACTTCAAATCAAGAATACAGTTACATGTAATTAATTACATAATACAGCACTGATTGATTTTGTTGTGGGTGTTAGCTGACACATGTTTCACGGATTCAGTTATGTCTCCGGTAGACGATTTCATTACTGTGCTGGTATTTTACCTTTGTAGTTCATTGCACTTCCTAGTTTCATTTCTAGTTATGTGGGTCGACCTAACAATGATATGACCTCTGGAATGCTATAAATCAAGTCAGATTGTACAGAAAATATACTATGGTATTAATCGAGATGTGAAAAATCTGCTATAATAGATTCAAGTAATAATATTCAAGTCGGTGTAGCTAGTTCAAGGAGCTAAGCTGTGTCAAGATATTTCTCACCAAAATTATAATTACTGTTTATTATATGTTAATTATAGATTTGTTTACATTCGTGTAATATACAAAAACAGTTCTGTATTTGTAGCAGGTAATGTCTAGTGTGCGAGTGCAGCCGAGTAGTTTATTAATTTACTAAAAATAGAATTGACGTAATATAGAACATTGAAAGCCTGTGAACTGCGTAAGTCAAATTATTAGTTCATGCGCGATTTGAGCGAGAATCAAAATGGCACGATGGCATATGTCACCGTTGATCCGATTGACCCAAAAACACTTTTCAAAGTTGAACTATTTTCAGTCCATTGCCAGAAAACTATTTTATTGCTTTATCATTGAACAACACCTCTGAAGATGCTTTATCATGAATGAGCTGTCTCTCATAATTTATGAAACAAACAAAATAGTGCCGCCCATTGACCCGATCGGAAGTGAATCATATTTGGGAATAGGTCATCGCAATGTGACGTCGTATGTTTACATTTTCAGCCAACCAGCTTGCGAATGGCTGATAGCAAAATGTCAGAAAGCATGTAATACCGGGTACATGCTTT